TTTAGCGAGCCAACTCTACGTATTTCGCAGTATTTTTCAGCATTAAAAAAATAAAAGTAAAGCATAATTAACTACAAAATTTATTCATGAAAATAAATCCAAATGTTAGAATACAATTTGGCGTGATTCAAAATATTAGAATATTTAATTATAAACTCTAAAATTCACTTATAAATGGAGAAAAAAATACTTAATATTTCTTTATCATCGCCTTTAGTTTTAGTTCTTATAAACTATCTTGCATAGAATTTTCAAGTTTTTTTTTTTTTTTTTGTCCCCATTAGCAAAAGTAGACTTAAATATATTTCACTAAGTAAGTTTTTCTTGTAAGATCACCTTCTTGCAGTTCTTTTTTCTTTCTTTTTTTACCATCCACCATTAATTTTTAATTGGATTAAGATCCAGTAAATTAACTGGCAACGGTGACTCTGTAATTTTGCGTTGTACCAACTAAATCGTAGTTGATTTCGATACATGGAGGGAAGCTAAATTTTGTCGGAAAATAAAATCATCCTCAAAAATATCTTCTGTCAATGGAATCATGAAATGTTCGAGAATGTCTTGATATATTTCTGAAAATCAACATTTTCCTTGAGGATGCATACCCTTCCACGTACAGTTTCGTTCATTCAACTCCATATTATCACACTAGCTGCTAATTTTTCATAATGTTTTAGTCATTCATAATTTAATGCTTCTTGTTTCATTCTCCTAACATGAACGCCTTGATTTCTCTCAAATGCACAGAACATACTTCCGTTAATATCTTTTTACAAACCTCCAAGCTACATAACAATCTTAATCACTGTCTCATTCTTGCAAGGTTTTGTTTTACTGTCACAAGTGGTTTTGTTTTTGGTTACGAGATTAAAACTTAAATTTATGATGTTGATTTAGATGTTGTTGATTTAAAAACATTAATTTTTTCTTCTTCTCATTTCCTATTCAAATATCGTGCATTCCTAAATCAATTTTTTTTAAGTACAGACTTCAGTTTTTTGTCGTCTCAGGTCGAAGCTTTCAGCTACCATTGCAACGATTATTTTTAAAATTTCCATTCTTCTGATACTGTTGCAAACGCTAGATTGAGAACAATTCAAATAATTGGCTTAGCTGGCTATACGTTGTTCATTTTAACCTGCCAATATCAGTCAGTAATTCATAGTTTTACTGCTTACAGAATATCACGCAAGCGTCCCTTTTTAAAACAAATACAAAGCGTAAAACACGGAAAATAAATCGTTTTAAAATAATCGTCTGCGAGAAAAAGAAAATTTTTATAAGCAACTTGCTAATTTTTAAAAACAAATTTTATCTTAACATATTCTTATAATTTGGACCAATAAAAATAAGCATTCTAATATTTTAAATTACGATATTTTTTTTAAAAAAATGAGCAAGCTTTTAGCTAGTATAGAAGTTTAATTAAACATAGATTGGATACAAAAATATCGTTTGCATATTTGCATTAAAGAATACTTAAAAAAAATGTTTTATGTATTTTCATTGAGTGTGAAAAATGAATGTTCTAATATTTTGAATCAGAGTCATAGAGTTTTCCTAAGCAAGAAGTTAAGATTAAAAATATTTCAAGAATGAAATCTGAGTAAGATTTTTTTGATAATTTATTTAATGGAAGTTAGGGTTCTGATAAAAGAAAAAAATATTGGATTGAATATAAAATGCATAAAAAAAATTATCGATTTTGACAATAAAAATATTCGAATTCCTTTTGTTGGAAATTTAATTTAAAAGCATGAGTTTTTTATGAACTCATTCATGCTCACTGATGGTATAGTCAATATTAATTTACACTCTTTGCTATATAAATTATTTTTATTACACGAGAATCTAATTTTATTACAAATCAATATTTATTATACATGTAGCAATTTTATTATTATCATTAGGTTTATCTTCAGATTCGGAGCCATTCGTTGTTTGTCTGAAAAATATCGTTTCTCAAAGGCGTTAGAAATTTTACATGAATTTTAACATAAACGTGAGTCCTACACTTTATGTATAGCTGCGGAGAAGGTTTTTGAGTACTTATTTACTACGTCTGTCACCATAAGTAGTTATTTAAAAAATATTTATATATTTATTAAATCGAATAATGCAGCTTAGTAGATTTTTAGTTTCAATCATAATATTTGTTTAAAAAATCGATGGAACACTTTAATTATTTTTTTTTAAATGCCATATGTCTGATGCATGTAATTGATCATGTCTCAGACATGACAAACTTGGTAGCAGGCATGAGGTTTATTTTAAAATTTTAATTTTGAAAATCACTTTATAACATTAAAATATAATGGTCAAAAACCGTTTCTGGTTGTTGGTGCCGTATTCCTTAAAGCCATTAAAACCATATTTGTTCGTTTCTTTAATTAAAGAAGATTCAGATTCCTTTAGCTGACATCTGCATAAAATTAGGAAAGATTATAAAGATACTTTATAACTGTTAATAAACACAATAATATTGCTAATATTATACAACTGTTAATATTATATAATAATTTGTAACTATAAAATCTTTCTTTATTTTACGTTATTTGCATCCAATGCTTATTTATAATCTTTCTCTATTATTATTTGTAAATTAATACGTTTTTACTTTTTCCTATTCCAAATTACAATCCTGAAACTAACGGCCATGTACTTTTATTATAAAGGAATTCAGTGATATTACCTCATTATGCAACATTTTATAATTATCCTATTTAAAACAGTTTGGACCTACTTACAACGGCTTGCAGCTGTTTTTTGATTATTAGAAGCAAAAAAATTCGTGCTATTTTTAAGTAGCTATTTAGCTTTAAAAAGTTACATTTATTAAATAATGTATTATCAATTATAAAATTCATTTATCTTTAATAAGCTAAATCAAATTTTAAGAAATAAGCTTTAAATAAAATTGTTTTCAGTCAACATATGAAATTAAAATAATTTATACAAAATTATAAAATAATTAATACAAAATATTATTAAGGATTAATTTTTCGTAATAGCTCTGAATAATTTCATCGGTGGAAAACATTGATATTGTGGTTTTTCACATCGCAATTGTGGTTTACAATTCTCGCCACCGACAAAAACTCTGCATATATCTCGCATTAAGCAATTTTTTTTAACTAAGATCTCATAGATTTATTTTTAAGTTTTTAACCTTCAAATTTTCAAAACTTCTTAATCTGTAAATTAATTTGACCTTGGCGATTCGAGTAAAATTCAAAAGAAACGAAAAGGATTCGTAATGACAGCTGAAAATGTTACAGCTTTCTAATCTGGCGAAATTTGATAAAAATCTGAATTGAGCCATGGTGTTTCAGGCGATATAGCTTTCGCCTCCCAATGAGGTGAACTAGGTTCGAATTCCAGTTGCGGCTAGTTGATACGAATTCTGCTCCTGAGTCGCACCGACAGCAGTGAAGGAAAAATATCCTCAGTGGTTATAGTTATCATGGTTATAGTATCATGTGGTAATAGTAAATCGGATAATGCGTTAGAATCCCCATGCCATCGGGTTAACCTTGGAAAGTTCCCGTGTTTTTCCTCTCCATGTAACTCAAACGCTGGTTAGTTCTATAAAAATTTTTATTTTTGCGACATACTGCATCGCCATTTTACCTCAGAATACGTACTATTTATCGTGAATCGAAATTTCGTCCACTTTCCGACTATCTAGGTCGTTTAAATTTCGGATAAATTTACAAGTAATCAGATTTTAAAGTATACAAAAAAAAAAAAAGAAAAAAAAAAAGAGTTTAGGTAAATCTAGAATAAACTATAAAGTTTCAAATACTATATTTTAGAAACATTTTTCCAACGTTTGAAACGTTCATAGTATGATCAAGGTTTTTCTGAACTAAATTTTTTCTAAACTTAAATTTTAAAATACCAATGAAGGCGAAACAAAATTTGCCATGGAAAGAGTCTCCTGCAGTATATCGTCCTCTTCTTAAGTTAAGATTTCTGTTCATTTCAGTTATGATTCTGACAATAGCAATTTTAAACAATGAAACTGTGTTTTAACATTGAAAGTATTTATTTTTGTCTTCGATTTTCCATTAATTTACTTTCTTCGATAGGCACATTTTCTTGTCACACATTGCTTTCATGAAATTTAGAATGTTAGATAGGAAAAATTTGTACTCAATTTTACCCGGGGGCTATAACAGTCACAAATTTAAGAAACCTTTGTTTTCAGCTTCAATATCAAAGAAGATTATTTGATAGATACAAATAATGTGAAAGAGTTTTAATATTAATTATTACAAAACAATGTTTTAATAGTTTTAAAATTATGTAAAATAATTAGTTACATTAGAAGTAACAGAAATTATAATAAAACGCTAGAATTTTCCGTTTCAACCTAGTCATTAATTAGAATTTAATTCTAGTGGATGCTTAATGAAAGGTCAGTAACTTTTAATTTTGTATCAAATGGTGAAAGAAAAATCTATGTTCAAATGATTCAAATGCGCTCGGCGAGAAAGTAAAATCAGAATTTATGTCGTAATTTAGTTTCTTTCCTTAGAAAAATCACTGAACTCACTACAAGAAAATAAACTAATTAATAAAAATAAATGAATTAATAAATTTGCCATCCCATGTAGAGAAACTTTCATCTTATATTTCATCAAATTAATAAAGTACTTTAAGTTACAAAAAAAAATAATAAAATGAAAAAACAGTTATGTTTGAAAAAAATGGTTTTACATAACGAGAAGTTTAAGGTCAGTTTTCAGTTCAATAGACCACCTGTTAAGTTTTAAGGTCATCACTTTAATTCTTCTTTTAAATTACATACTTTTTTTCTCTTACTTTTAGGTCAACAAAAGACGAACTTTAAAAAGTACAATCCTTCCTACTTTTGTAGCAAAATACACCAACTTAACTGGTTACAAAATACAAATTAGTGCGCCAAATAACTTTGAGTGGCGCATTTAGAACTTCTGACCGTTTGAAATGTAGCAACCCTGCACCTGGGCAAAAACTTAGGATAAACATCCACCTCAAATACCTGTTGGATCTCCGATACGGTCCGTGCCCGTAGGACCGCTCCGACAAATGATGCCCGCACAAACTGCCAGATCATTAACTTTCTATGAACGCTAGAACACCAGTCAACATGACCTGAACAATAATTCGATGTTCTTGTTTAAATATCATCGGGAATAATATGTGATATGTGCTTTTAATCTCATCGGGGGTCTTATTGACCTGAAATTGATACGTATTATCATAAGTGTGGAATTATGAGCTCAAAAATATGCAGACATCTTCATCTACTCATCTTTGTTTACCATTGCATCTTGCATGGTAGGTTTTTCTTTCTTTTCTTTTTTTTAATCATTTTGAATCCCTTCTCGAAGAATTTCCCATTTGTTTATCTCATGTGCAATTGATTTTAAAAGATATTTCTAGTTGTGGAATTTACATCTTGCCAAAATATGTAAGCTTAGGCTTTGGAGAAAATAACATTGCTTATGTTTTATTTATTTTTTAATTAGATTGTCATTAGAAACCATTACAATGTCTTTTTTTTAATCATTCTGATTCCCTTCCCTTGAAGAATTTCCCATTTGTTTTTTTTTCTTCATATGTAATTGATTTTAAAATATATTTCTAGTTGTGGAATTTACATCATGCCAAAATATGTAAACTTATGCTTTGGTGAAAATAACATTGCCACATTGCCTATATTTTTTTTTTTTTTTTTCTATTTAGATTGTCATTAAAAACCGTTGATATTTCGGTAGTGCTTGAGCGATGAAATATTTTGATGAATAATCAGTATAATTTTCATATGAGGTTAAAAATAAAGTTTGTTTTTTAAATTTGAATTTAATTATTGCTGAGAATGATTTTTTTTATTTAATTAATCTTCTCATTTGGAAGGTATTGGAAACTATAACAACAAATTCTATAAAGTTTTGATAAATATTCAACGTAATTTTCGCATGAGGTTAAAAAGAAAAAAAAATCTTTTTAAATCTATATGTTGGTGAGATTGACGAATGTTTTATGTATATTTGAACTCAAACGACATGTTTTAAAGAAAAATATACATAAATATACGAAATTAAAGAGAAAAAATTAAAAGTAATGCATTCGAGTTAGTAGAATATATATGACGAACAACCATTATATTCATATGAGATTAAAAAGGAAAAGATGTATATATATTTTTTTTAAATTTAATGTTCGAGGGAAATTACATTTAAGTAACGTTACAGATTTGCTTGATTTCTAAAAACAAAATAATTTTAAGTACGATGAATTTTAATATGAGATAAAAGAAATTGTTGACGGAGAATGACAATTTAGAAACGTTACGTATTTGATATCTAAAGACAAAATGTGGAGAATAATAATATTAAAATGAATTCTTGTATGAAATTAAGAAAGAATCGAAGTTAATATTAATGGCATGAAATTAAAAGAAATATGCAGTTCTTATTCTAAAAAATAAAAAAAAGGAGTTTGCAAATAAAATTCCAAATATTTATCCTTTTTACTGACATTTGGAGAGGATATTTTTTATTACTGAACATAGAAGGCATTATTAGACGAAATTCGGAGAAATAGTTACAAAAACGCGGATGGGAAATTTTTTATACGTATGATCAGATTTCGAAATTAGTCATGCTATACTTAATAAATAAACAACTAAATTTTTTTTTTAAAGCATTGCTGTAATTTATATGCCCAAACTAAACATTTAATGTTATAGGAAATTCATGATCTAATTCGATTGCTTGAGCTTTTAACCTAAATAGGTTAGCTTCTTGTTTTGTTTTTATTCTCTCTTCTTTTTTTCACAAATTTCATACAATCACGCGAGGGAATTTTTTTTTCTTTTATGAATGATTTTCGTCTGAAAAGGTAGAAAATCTTTCCGGTAAGTTGAATTTTTACCGTTATGAAATAATTTGCTTAGAATATTCAGAATATTCGTAATTTTTATTCAGAATTTAGAATATTATTAGAAATCAGAATAGTACTTGCATATTGCATACACATACTTTTTTATTCTTTTTACATTCTTCGTAATTTTGCTTTTAAAAAGATCCACATTTTTCTCATAAAATTGAAATAGAGTTAGAATTTTTTTTATAAACTAGAATACTTCGCCCCTACTCGCCAACCCCCGTTGCTTCTCATTCATCTTTGTTTATTTTTTCTTAAACGTAAATATTTCCCGTAAAAACACTGAACATTTTGTTGTTAACAATTCAGACGATAACCGAGTTTTTAAAAATAATCATTTGCACTTAAGAAAAAAATTAGCCTAAGGAATGCAGGTTATACTACATAAGATGAAATGAGTGCGCAGTAATTTTACCCATTGAAGATACTTAGAATAATTCAAATAAGGAGCGGTTTTTAACTTTTTTCATTCAGTTTTTTTTTTTTAATTATACTATTTTGCTATGAATTTTGAGATTTATATCTTTTCTTTTGTTACTTAAGATTAATGCGAACGGGAGCTTATAAAATAAAGATCTCGCATGGGAAAAATAAATTTTCTACAACAATGGATAAATCGTCAATATTTAAAGTGAAAAAGCTGAAAAGAATTAAAAAAAAGCACTTAAATTTCAAATAACTTTCGAACAAATAGGAATCTCGAAAAGAAAAAAAAACTCTCGTTAGAACTAACTTAGTTTAAATTATCATCTGTGTTAATTTAAATTTAAAAGCTTTTTTCTTAAATCTTTAAAGTAACAACAAAAAACTTAGGAAGCGTTTTGGAACTAGTTTATTTAGAAATAATTTGCATTCTTTGCATAGAAATAGAATCAAAATTCATCTAATAATGTCAGCAATCGACAATTGCGTTTACAAAAATATGTTAAAGATTGCGGGTATATATTTCTATAGGTAGTTTTATGATTTTCTATGGGCTTATAAATCAATAGAATTTTTTTTTTGCAATTTTGTTAAAAAGAAAATTTTCTGAAACACTATTTTAATCCTATTCTATTTTTAACTTATATTCAGGAATTCACTGATTCATAAAGTTTGCCTTAAATACGTTTTTAGAAACTTCGAAAATATGATATCAAAGAAAAAAAGGAAAAATTTAACCTGAAATGCTTGTTAATTCAAGTAGATTATTTACTGTAGAACCCTGATTATCCGAGGAATTAGACAGCAAGAGCACTGCGTAAAATCCTAAAAAATAATAATAATAATAATGAAAAGTAAACAAATAAACGAAAGTAGGGTGAAAATACAGAAAATAATTTAAGAATGTATTCATACATGCATATATACACCGAAGAGCCATTACATTATGACCACCCTGCTAATAACATGTAGGACCACCTTCAGCAGCCCTCAAAACTGCTAGCATCCGCCATGGCATTGATTCCACGAGGTGCTGATAGGTAGTCTGAGGTATCTGGTGCCAAGCGCTCACCAACTGGTCCTGCAATTCCCTCACATTGCGAGGGGGCAGCGTAGCCGCACGTATTTGGTTTTCCAAGTAGGACCATAAATGCTCTATTGATTAACGGCAGGTGAATTTGGGAGCCAAAACATGACTTGAAAGTCACTGGAATGTTCCTCGAACCAATCCATGACATAGTGCATTATTCTGTTGGTAAATACCACCCCCCGCAGAAAAACTGTTGCCATGAATGGATAAACCTGGTCTGCAACTATGTTCAAGTAGCTTACAGACGTCAGGGATTGTTCTATGAGGATTAAGAGTTCTAATGTGCCCCATGAAAACATTGTTCCTGGGCGAGAAACCATGAAAACCTGGGTGAGCCCATTGTAATAGATGAAGGGTGGTCATAATGTAATGACTCTTCGGTGTATTTTAAACGAAATAACATAAATCTTCGTTCTACGTCTAAAATACTGAAACAACAAATGGTGATTATATGTATTTTTGTTATTTTTATTAAAGTGTTCAGTTATACTTTTTAATTTTTAAAAAAATCAATTATCGATCACGGGCTATTTATTTTACAATCTCTTCGAGGAACTTGCGGATAATAGAAACCCAGGAGAATAATTTTTAATTAAATGTAATAAATGAGGCATAAAAGATACCAATTTGTTCACAAATTTTGTTTTATTGTCGATATCAACAACAAAAAAGAAAATATCAGTCGTGAAAAGTATTTTATAAGAACAATTTCATGCTTCGGGAAAGTGGAATAAATCATTCGATTTTCCTGAGGTTGTTATCTTTTAATTTTAAGTATAAGAAAACTTTGTCTTCGTACTTTAAGAAAAAGATACGTTAAAATTAAATTCAAAATTTTAAACAACTTAGAAATTGTTCCAGATCAACAATAAACGGCCTTATTTTTGTTTTATTGTACGCCTAAACTTACTAAAAATATAATATTTTAAAATGAGGAAAAAAGCAAACGATTTTTTAAATGAAATATTTTTAAAACTGTTTTTTTCTTCTTCTTTTTTTTAAATAAGTACAAAAGCATATCTTATATCCTGTTTATAGTTTAATTTAAATAAAATTTATCTACGTGTTTTATGAATTACATTTTATTCCTTAACAATAATTTATAGCACTTTAAAAAAATGAAAAAATTCTTGCAACAGAAAACATAAAGGCTGATTGTGAGAAGCTTTTCTCTACCTTTATTAGATAAAATATCCTTTAAGAACTTTTCAAACACAAAATACACTCTTAAACTGGAAAGAATTGTTTTTAAACAAATCAAAACATGAAACAGATAAATAATTTTTTTTTTCCATGTTACTTGATTCTGATCTGTTTGCTGCGTCAAAAAAAAAATATTAAAAATGCTTAAACAAAATTTCAAATTCAATTTGAAACAGTAAGACATTTAATATATCTCAAATCGCAGTTCCGTTCTAAAAAAAATCATTTTAAAGGATAGACGTGAAAGTTGCATTATTTATCATTCACACTTCTCAAAGCTATTAGTTTAAAAACTCGCCAACAAACAATGAAGGTCACGTGCGTCCCACACAATTACTTCAATCTTTGGCAACTTTTATTATTTAATAGATGCAGATGACTGAATTGAAAAATAGTTTTAAACCTTAGCAGAGTTTTTAACTCTTGGAATATAGAATAAAACATTGTTTCCATTGTTCTATATGCCAGCATGATAAGAATCATCTTTAACTCTACAAGATTTCTTTAAATTTTCCATTAGCTTAGTTCACTATTTTAATATTGTGAACAATAATAATGTTGATATTCATCAACATTATTATTGTTCAAAACTTTTAAAGGGAATTGAAAAATCTTTGTGAATAATTATCCAAAATTAACACCATGCAAAAATAACGCCATGCAAAAAATAACT